GCTCTGGCGATCCTTCCACCTCAGCCTTCCATGATATTTATTGTATTGTCTATTTTCCTACATTAGAATGGAGGCCCCATGAGAGTAGAGATTTTTGTCAGTTTTGTTCACAAATATATCCCCTAAGCCTAGAACAGTATATGTTGTAGGTACTCAGTAAAGAAGTACTTATTGAATGATTGAATGAACATATTATGTAGGTAACTGCCGTATCAAGTTGAATCTTACATCTCAGTAGCATCCATCCACTGGTCCTGGTCCTGCTCGCTGAACCATGGCCTATACATCTCCTTTCCAGAGGACCACCTCTGTCATCTATTATGTAATTCCCACCCACCCTTTCCCCTATTTTTAAAATGCCCAGGCTCTTCAGCTAACCCTTTGTCCTGGGCCCATCCTTATCCTCAAAGACATGCTCCGGCTGTCAGTCACTCTTCAGACTCTGGCTCAAAGAGCTGAAATCCCCCTTTGCACAATGCCCCTTGGACGTTCTATGGTGGGGGGCGGGCATTGTGCTTTGTGGGGAGTGCTGCTTCCCCTTTCACTTTATCCTGTGAGCTGGTAGGATGGGCAGAGGGAGAAGTGAAGGAGTCATCCTGAGGGTGGGCACAGGCTAACATGCCATTGGAGTTTTCCTCCCTCTACACTAGAAGCCTTTTTAGAGGTGGTTTCCCCTCAAGGACTGCCTGGGCTTGCTGCCCGGAAAAGGCTGAGAACAGGGAGAGGATTCTGACCAAGATATTTCATGTCTTGATTTCAGAAGGTCCTTTCCTGTCTCCCAAAGTCTACCCCCCACACTCCCTCCTCTTTTGTTGTCTAGGTTGTCCACATTCCGGAAGCACTGATGTGGCACTAAATATTCCTGCAGCCCCAGCCTGCTCCCCTGGGGGCCAGCGTCATCTCTCTGAGCCTGCTTTCTGGAATGTTTTTGGTATGAAGCATCCGGGCAGGTGAGGGGAAGGGTTGTGCAGGATGGCATCCACGGCCCCATGTCTAGGACTTTCGGGGGCTAAGGGAATAGATAGTCTCTCCTCACGCAGATTTCCCTTCCACAGCAGGCTCCACCCCTCACCCTGCCCACCCCTTCTACCACCTGGCTTAGAAGAGGTTAAGCAAGCAGACCACAGAGGACCAAGATCTTAGGACCAAATGCTTTTGTGTTCCTTCTCCTTCCCTTCTCCTTCCCGAAAGTCCACCTGCCCAGCCCCTGCTGATGGGAAGGGCTGTGTCCTCTCCCTCCCTCTCCATCCCACACCCTGGTTTCCCCTTAAGTACCCGCCCTCCCTCTCCTGAGACCTCCCCTCTCCTCTTCCCTTCCATTCCAGTCTGGGCCCGCCACCCTCAGCTTCTCCCTGCACCCACTCACACTTTTCTTTCTAGCTCCTCTTGGGACTTGTGGAGACTAGGGAAGGGCATTTGGGGAATTGCTATATTCCTTGTGCCTGGAAAAGAGCCTGGCGTACAATAGGTGCTCAATAGATATTTGTAGTTCCATTCACTTCTATTCTTTTACTCAGTTCTCCAAACCTCATCCAGTTCAAATGAGTTCCCTCCCCCACTGCCCAAGATTTGGCATCCCACAGACCTGGGTTTGAGGTCTTGCTAAGTTACTTAATGTTTTTGAGTTTCCATTTCTTTTGTAAAATAAGAACAATAAAAAAGAGTACTGAACTAAGGAGGTTATTGCATGCATTAAATGAGATAACACACAAAGTGCGGGACCCATAACCCATAGGCACTTAATACATGGTAGCCCCTATTATCACCCAAGTGGCAATTCTTCTTCCAATCATGCAAACTCCCTTTCAACACTCTCTGAACCAATAGCAATTTCTCATTGAATTTAACTTATGCATGCTACCTTGCCCCTAGTCTGTAACCTCCTTGAGGCCAAGATCTTATTTGTTGCACCAGGGGTACAGTAATATACAATAGGCCTTGATTCATGAGTGGAATGAATAAATAAGTGCCACCAACTCCACAGTTGAACCATAAGCTTCTTGAGGTAAAGATCCACCATGTATTTTTCCAGTGTTTACTCAGAGTCTAGCCCAGAGTCCCAGCATTCAGTAGGACCTCAGAGACTTCAGACCCAGGTACCCAGTGTTGCCGAAGCCATTTCATATTTGCTCTTCCATCTTGACCTCATAGTTGCCTTGCCCTTCTCCATCTCCTCCCCAGTCCCAGTCACTTTGCTAGCTCTCCAGGTGCAGGGAGATGCTCCGTTGGGTAGGCACCAACAGCTGGCAGGACAGGTGTGCTGTGGGGCTGGAGCTGACGCTGGCCAGAGCTGGGGATGTTTGGAGGCCTGCGAATACCAGAGCACGTCGGGCGGGGGAGGGAGCCTGCTTGAAGCCAGAGCCAGCCGGCTGCCTGCCAACACTTTGTCCTCAGCCTCCCTTTCATCCCCAGCCCTCAGAGCCTGGGAGTTTCTCAATGGAGCAGGCGAGTGGGGAATGCTCTGCAGGAGGCTGAGGAGGCTGGCCTATGGGGGGGTGGACATTCCAGGCATTCTTTGCTACCTCTAGGAGTCAGGCAGCGGGCGAAGCTGCCCAGCACAGAGGGGGGAGAAGCTGCCAGCACTGGAGAAAAGGGGATTTCTTTGGAGCGAGAGAATAAAGGCTGTGGGGGTGTCTTCAAGCAGCAGGGGGCAGGGCTTCAAGCAGACAGGGCAGGAGGTGGGAAAAGAGGAAGAGAAGGGTGGGGGCGGGGTTGGTCAAATCCTGGTCTTCCTTTAGTGCCAAAGGCTGAAAGAGCAAACTGGGACCCTGGGCACAGAGCTTTCCCACCTGCATGCTTAATACTGATGCAGGTGGTAAGAAGGAGCCTTGGAAAGTGAAGAGCTCAGGTTTGTTTCATTTTGTTTTGATTAAGCAGCTTCTCTATTTCCCACCCCAGACGGCCCAGAGAGGAGAATGTGTATTAAGAGAAGGTTCAAAGCTCTCCTGCCTCCCAACACCACCCCACCAGAACAACAGAGGTTGTTTTCCAATCACAATTCCGGTTTTAATGGAGTGGTTCTTTCTGGCCACAGAGGAAGGGAAGAGGGACCATCAGGTAGACAGAATCAGAGAGTGTGGAGTGAGGGGAGCCAGAGACCCCTCTCCAGACAGTGCAGCTGGATGCATGGATGTGTGAAAGATCCCCCCCCATGATCAGTGGGAATCACTGCAAAAATATCTCTCTGTACACAAAACTTAAGATGTCATAGTAGATTTTCCCAAAACATAGCATTCACATTATTGAAAATGACAAGATTTGCTTTTTTTTAAAAACACAGAGTTGAAAACAAAAAAATAAATATGCACATTCTAGGGTCCTGAAGCCCCACAGCCATAGTCTGATCTTTAGAAGCAGCTTAGAGGCAGAAGTTCCGAGTCTTTGAGGTCCAAGGTGGGGTCCAGGGGAGTCTGGGCCCCTTGAGATGAACTCCGTACAGCAGCCTGAGCCTTTTCAAGTCTTTCAGATTCATAGCAGCGACTCCAGGCCAGGTTTGGAGGATGGGAAAGAGAAGAGAACCTTTGAGGAAACAGAGGTTTTGTTCTCTTACTCCTAGGATAAATAAGGAAGGGTTCCTCCAGAGCATTCCCAGGCTGCCCCAGGACATAGGGGTGCCACATTCCAGTTCCAGTGGTTGGTGGGAATGGGAATGAATGTGTGTATGAAGTGGTCCAGCCCCACTTTGGCAGGGAATGAATGGGCTGCCCTGGAAGGCACCATGTATACAACTTATTCTTGGCAATCAAGGAGACAGGCACTGACGGAGGGCTCCTTCTAGATCTCTGCAGCCCTTCCACATGTATAAGAAACAGGCAAACTGGGATGGGCGTAGTGGCTCACACCTGTAATGCCAACACTTTGGGAGGCCAAGGCAGGAGGCTCGCTTGAACCTAGGAGTTCGAGGACAGCTTGGGCAACACAGCCAGACCCTGTCTCTTAAAAAAAAAAACCCATTCCCCTTCACTTCTCTACTCTTGTCCCCTCTCTCTTCCTTGTTCATCAGGGCTGGGGACACTGAACCCTTGAGGCACTTCACTTGCCTACTTCCCCCAAACCATCTCAGCCTTCTGAGCTGGAACAGGGGTCCTGGGAAGCAGAGGAGAAGGTACTCTCCTGTTCGAGTTCAGCCAGCTGTATCTTAGAGCTTGCCCGCCCACCCCTCAGCCGAGCTTTGAGCAGACCCCCAGTGCCTGTCGGTAGGTCTCTGTCACCTCTTGGCAGTCTGTCAGGGAAAAGCAGCTAACCCCCAGGGGGTCCTGCCGCCAGCGCCTCAGGCAGCTTCCAGGGCCCTCGGAGGGGGGCTCCTCAAGCCCCATAAGGTTGTCCACAGACACACAGCCCCGCAGCGGGGGATCGGGGAGCCTTTCTGGCAAGTCCAGCTGGTCAAAGGACTCAGAGGACAGGATGCTGTCCTCGCTCACAGCCCCTGAGGGGCGGCTGGCCCGGGCTGGGGGGCGAGGCGAGGCAAGTTCATCCAAGGAGCCGAAGGTGGTGGGGGCTGTCAGCTCCAAGGCCCCGCGAGAGAACTTGCCATTGAGTTTGAGGATGCCCTTGCGATGGAGGAGCAGCCCAGAGGCTTGGGGGGGCTTCTGCTCCACGGAGTCCCCACTCACAAACACGTCACCTGCGTCTAAGAGCTCCCCAGACTCACTGGGTTCAGGAGAGGAGTAGTAGCCAGACTCGCGCTGCCGGGACTTCTTGAGAATGCCCTTCTTGGGGAGCACAGGGGCAGTCTGCCCTGGGCTCACGGGCACTGGGCTGAGCTCCTGAGGGTCCTCCTTTGCCCCTTCTGAAGAGGTTGATGCCTTCTTCTTGAGAATGCCCTTCGGCAGCTTGAGGTTGCTCTTGCCAGGGCGAGGGGTGCTGTCATCAGCCAGGTCACCCTGGAGAGACTGGGCCATGTCATTCTCTTTGCGGGACTTCTTGAGCGAATGCTGGCGCTCCAGGCCAGGGGGGGTGCTCCCCCCACCAGGCGTGTGATGCTTGAAGAAGCTGCACACCTTGGCCCCGTTCTCCAGGAGCGGGCGGGAGGAACGCCGGAGCCAGTCAGCCATGGAGGCACGGGCGGAGTCGCTGCCAGGGTGCCCTCCCTCATGGAGAGTCTCCTGCTCCCCCACACGGGTGGCATAGCCCCAGTTGACCCACCAGTGACTGGTCACATCCTCCAGGGTGGCCCGGCGTGTGGGGTTCACCATTAACAGCCACCGGATCAGGCCAGAGGCATCTGGAAGATAAAAAGCAGGGCCTTCAGTTTGGCAGCTCCCAGAGTGGGCTAAGATACTGCTCACTCCTGGGTCAGATATTTCCACTCCAGCCTGGTGCTTTACACACCCATGGCCAGGCTGGTACCCCAATCCAGCCTTCCTAGATTGACATCCCCAGCTGCCTCTCTGTCCACGAACCCTCAGGACTAAAGTCCATTCATGAGCCCTTGCTTGTATGTTAGTGTGTATTCTCTTCCTCTCCCTCGAAATCCAACCCTCTGAGGGTAAAGACTGTGCTCAAGGCTAAGGCTGTCACACCCTCTTCCTGCCTTCTACATCATTGTGAAAGGACAGAAAGATTTCTGAAAATGAAAACAAAAGCAATAGGAATTGAGACTACTATAGCCAAGAAGATCCAAGTTAGACCTTAGGAAGCACTTCCCAAATATCAAGCATGCCCAGAGGTCTCAGACATTGGAGATGACAGTGGAGGGTACCCTAATCTACCGTGGGTCACAACGGACTATTGCCCTTATTACTTTAGTGCAACCGTTGAATTCCTGCTTAGGAATTAGTGAAGGACACTGCAGGCCTGGATGAGAACACCCACACCTCTCACTCACCAGAGGGTTTAGGTGGCTGCCGGTAGGCCCCGTCGCTGATCTGTTTCACCAGCGTCTTATGGTCCTGCCCGTCAAATGGCATGGTGCCGTGGACCAGGATGTAGAGGAGAACGCCCAGGGACCAGCTGTCCACCTAGAGAGAGCGAAGGGATCAGCAAGGATGCCTGTATCCACAGCTGGATGACTGCCAGCCTCACCTAGCACACCAGAGAAGAAAAGGTACATGGTGGCGAACTTAGAGGCCAGGGCATCTGAGGACTATTCACCTCCGGTATCCAAGAGTAAAGGGGCAGCTGCAGAAGGGGCTGAGGTTCATAGCAGAGATGTTGTCAACGCCTTCTCTAGGAGGGACAGCCACAAGAGTAGGAGCCAGGTTTTCTCCTCTGGGCCAGGTTGGGTTGGCTGTGATGGATACCACCTCTATACCACTCTAGGAAGGCTGGGCTGGGTACCAGGAAAGCTAACAGGAATGAGGAAGGTGAAGGGGACAAAGAGCCAGGCTGAGAATCAGGAGACCTAAGTTCTGTTCCAGTTTTGCCATCCCGGCTAGAGATCTGACAAGTTACTACTTTTAAGTGGCCTGAGTTTTATGTTCTGGGAAAGGTAATAACCAGAAAACTAGCCCATCCGTCATCTCTCAGGATGTAAAGTACATGACTGAGGCAGGCTGGTGGAGGAGAGCAGCCACTCACCTCTGGGCCCATGTAGGGTTTCCCGTTGACAATCTCAGGTGAGGCATAGAGGGGGCTCCCACAGAACGTCTGCAGGAACTTGCCTTGGTGGTAGAGGTTGGAGAGGCCAAAGTCAGCAATCTGCAGGATTGGGTCAAACACAGACATGGTCATGCCAAGGCCTGGGTTATTCTGTAGCTCTTGGCTCCCAGGGAACCCAGACTCTGGGGAACCCAGACCCCAGCAGAAGGAAAGGGTCCTCATGACCCCTATCCCATACTGGGCACTGTCAGCAAAGCTCAGACCTGGGAAGAAGGAACCCTGGGAAGGTATGCCAGCAAGGAGCACCTAGGTATTGGTATTAGGGCTCCAGGATCCTCACTGCTCCCCAGACCCCTCTGCTCATGCTGTGTTCCATTCCAGAGATGCTCTCTCCTGCCCATGCGTGTCCTCCTGACCCAGCAGGCCCACCTTCCTGGGAAGCCTTCCATTGCACCAAGATCTCTGTTTCCTATAAAGTTCTGCAGTTTCTGGTGGCCCTCTACTCATCACTTCTGCCTCCCAGTCAGATTGTAGGCTGACCTCCTTGCCCCCACTTGTCCTGCAGCTGCCAGCCCAGCTGAGACCCTGGATGAGGTTCCATTGTCTGAAAGGAGGGCCAGCCAGATAGAGGAGGTGAGCCAACTTCTCATGCCAGTGCCACAGCCCTCAGGAACAAGCAAGCCCTGTTACTGACTGACCATGCAAGACTTGATCTGCCATTCCTAGCTAGCAGGAAGCTGGGGTCAACCCAGTATAGCTAAGAAGCGACAGTGAAGGCAGAACAAACATCAGGGCCATGACTGCAGCCTAGGAGAGGAATCTTCTCACAAGACCCCCTGAGCCATCTGACACTGAGGGCTGGAGAAACCCAGCTCCATCCTCTTGCTCTCTGGATAGGCCCTTCCCTGCCTATCCTAAGTTAGAGGCTGAGGCCAATGCCCTGGTGCTCCCCATCTCTACTCCACCAGAGAATCATGTGTGCCCAGGGTGGGGAGAGGCTATTTATGAAACTCTGGCTCCTTCGTTTATGGTTTTATTGGCCTTTTATCAAGCAGTTCCCAGTTAAAGCCCATAGCGAGGCATATGATTGGTACAGATAGCAGAGTCTGTGCCTATGCTGGTTATGTGGGTTTATTGGCTCTGGCTTCCCTCGTCCTGGTCAGCATCAAAGAGAACCCCACCTGCTCCAGGAATTGGCTGGTAAAGGGGAATGAACTCAGTACCAGGGTGCCTCAGGGCATAGGTCAGGAGCCACTGGAGGAAACTATGTGCTGGGTTCAGGAGGAGCGTCAGAATTCAGAGTCACCATCCTAAGTGCTTGCAGGGGCCAGTCTCCCTGCACCCTGGCTTCTTGCCAGCACTAACATCCACATTTATCCCATCAATATGCACTTCTCCTGACTGACTTCAATTTAACTAGGCATGGAAATCCAGCAGCTGTGGAAAGCAGGAAGCTAGCCCTGGAGTGCTTGGTTTATGGGTGCCAAAGAGCTACGTAATTGCAGCAGATTAAAGTGTGTTCATGTGAGTATGCACGCAAGTGTGCACACATGCAGGTGATGAGAAGAACTCAGACTACAGGACTCTCTTGGGCCGTCCCAAGGTTGTGAGCAAAAACTGACCAGAGGCCGGGCTCGGTGGCTCAGCCTGTAATCCCAGTACTTTGGGAGGCCGAGGCGAGTGGATTGCCTGAGCCCGAGGGTTCAAGACCTACCCAGGCAATTTGGTGAGACTTTGTCTGTACAATAAATAAATAAAAATTAGCCGGGTGTGGTAGTGCGTGCCTGTAGTTCCAGCTACTTGGAAGGCTGAGGCGGAAGGATCGCCTAAGCCCAGCAGGTAGAGACTGCGATGGCTGGGAGTGTGCCACTGCACTCCAGTCTGGGCAACAGAGTGAGACTCCACTTCAAAAAAACAAAAACCAAAAAACACAAAACGGACCATAAGCTAGGTGCGGTGGCTTACGCCTATAGTCCCAGTACTTTGGGAGGCTGAGATGAGAGGATTAGCCTCAGTCCACGGGTTCGAGACCAACCTGGGCAACTTGGTGAGACTCATCTCTACAATAAATCAAAAAAATTAGCTGGGCATGGTGGCACATGCCTGTAGTTCCAGTTACTTGGAAGGCTGAGGCAGAAGGGTCTCTTGAGCCCAGTAGGTTGAGGCTGTGGTGGCCGTCAGCGTGCTATTGCACTCCAGCCTGGGCAATAGAGTGAGACTCTAACTTCAAAAAACCCAAAAAACAAAAAACAAACTGACCCTAGATCTAGATTCTGTCAGTCTTATGATATCAACAGAGCACTGGTCTGGTAGTCAGAAGACCTTGGTTCTAGCCCAGGCTCAGCTACACACTAGCCATGTGACCTTGTGCAAGTCACCCCTCATCTGAGGTTCCAGATCTTCATCTATACAAGGAGGTTTTGCAATGGATGATGGCTGAGGTCCCTACAGGTACCAATATGTAAGTCTGGGTTTTGCTCAACTCCTTCAGGAAACTTCCAAGAGATTAGATCTACTTGGCTGGGGACAGTACAGAAAAGCTGGGGTGGGGCAGGGAAGCTTCTGTAAACAAGAAGTGTGGCTCACCTTGATATTTCCATTGGCATCTAAGAGGATGTTCTCCAGCTTGAGATCCCGGTGGACAACTCCATTCTGAAGGAAGGAAGAGCAATGTCAGGACAAGGTCACCAAAGAAAGGAAGGGGTCGGGGGTCTAGTCTGGAGAGTGAGGTAAACACAAAGGGAGCTGAGTGGGGTTGAGTGCAGGTAGGCTGGGAACACCCATCTTTTTTTTTTTTTGAGTTGGAGTCTCACTCTGTCGCCTAGGCCGGAGTGCAGTGGCACGCTCCCGGCCACTGCAGCCTCAACCTGCTGGGCTCCGGCGATCCTTCCGCCTCAGCCTTCCAAGCAGCCAGAACTACAGGCACGCGCTACCACGCCTGGCTAGTTTTTGATTTATTGTAGAGACGAGGTCTCACCAAGTTGCCCCAGCGGGTCTCAAACCCACGGGCTCAGGCAATCCACTTGCCTCGGCCTCCTAAAGTGTTGGGATTACAGGTTGAGCCACCAAACCCAGCCAGAACACCCATCTTTATTGGTCGATGGTGCAAGAAATCATAGGCTCTTTCATCCCCAGTCAAGACGACGGTCCAAACCAGCCCAGAGCTCCAACGACCACCCCCTCAGAACATGGCTGGGGCAAGTGGGTGCTCACCTGGTGGCAGTAGTGCACGGCAGAGACAATCTGCCGGAAGAAATGCCGGGCATCGCGTTCACTGAGCCGCTGCCGCTCACTGATGTAGTCATACAAATCACCCCGGCTGGCGTACTCCATGACAATCACGATCTTGCTGCTGTTCTCAAACACTGGGCAGAGCAAGGCAGGAAATGTCAGGCCCTTCCGGAAGGCATTGCTTCCCACTGGGGGTCACTCATCTCTACCTCCACCCTGAGGCCCCAAACTAGATAAGACCTCCCTCCAGGAATATCTGCTAATGAGGTCACAGGGTGGTGAATAAGGGCAGGAGAAGGACCTTTGAAGATCTCGGCATCTTCTAGGAACAATGAGTTAAGGCCAAGCACACTGGCTTGCCCTCCTGCTCTTTGGTAGTTCAGCCTTTTGAGGGTTCTGACATCACTGCATGAGAATGAAATGCCAGGTTCTCTGGTTCAGAATCTGGTGCTTTTGCACCTTGTGACCTTGGGCAAATCTCTAGACACATCAGTAGAATGCAGGTTTGCAAGCCGGACTCAGTGGCTCAGCCTATAATCCCGCACTTTGGGAGGCTGAGGTGAGTGAATTGCCTCAGCCCGCGGGTTCAAGACCCGCCTGGGCAACTTGGCAAGACCTCATCTCTACAATAAATCAAAAAATTTGCCGGGCGTGGTAGCGCGCGTCTGTAGTTCCAGCTACTTGGAAGGCTGAGGTGGAAGGATCACCGGAGCCCAGCAGGTCGAGGCTGCGGTGGCCGAGAGTATGCCACTGCACTCCAGTCTGGGTGACAAAGTGAGACTCCAACTCAAAAAAAAAAAAACAAAAACAATGCAGGTTTGCTGAATGATGTTGGACAAGTTATTCAACCACTGTGCTTCAGTTTCTTCATTTCAAAAGTGGGATACTAATGGCAACATCACAGGACTGGGAGTGAGAAACAGATAAAAAAAAAGTCAGTGATAGCTCTGGGGCTGGCTAGGTAAGCTGGCACAGGGTCTGATATATAAGCAAGCCTTCAATAAGTGGTACCTATTGTTATATTTATCATCAGTGTCCTCGTGCACAAATTTGAAAAATAATGCCAATAACAGTGCCTGCCGTAGGATCAGAAGAGGGATAAAACTATATGAAAGTGGATTGTGAACTCTAAAGCACTGTAGAGAGCTGAGATGTTCATCACTTCCACCATCTTTGACTTTCGTCCAGAGTACCAGGCCAGGGCATCATGCATAAGGCCTTGTACACAGAAGCAGTCAATACTTGTTTGATAATTAATTGGCTGGCTGGGCTCCTGCAGTCAGCCCACCCCAGATGGCTCATCTCCATGTGTAGGAGCGGCCCTCTTGCCACCTCAGGCCTTGTCCTGGCTCCAGCCCCCTAGAGAGGTAGGGAGTGGCTGGTTCACCAAACTGGCCTTTCTGCTGGGTATTTGTTAGAACACGTATGTCCATGACATTGCATCTTTGTCTCAAACGGGTCCTATGAGTTTGGCTTGCTTGGCCAGCCCCAGAGCTATTGCTGTCTAGCCTCTGAGTAGGAGCAGATAGAGGAGGCTTTTCTCAAGAAGAGTCCTAGCTTCCAGACAACTGCTTACATGGCCAGGAGGACTATGCCTTTTTCCAGGGGAACATGAGTAAATGGCTCTGATCCATGTGGCCCAGCCTCCTGGGGGTGCCTGTCTGAGACTCCCCTCCTGTGGTTCTCCATATTCCTAGGCATGTGCACAACTTTGTGCCATAAAATTGAGGGTTAAGAGCTAGCCAGGACAAATTTCGGAGAGCAGCTAGGTTAGAGGTCAGTTCGAGGATTGGAGCCCACACCTCCTGAAACCTGTTGCAGGATGGAGATGAATCTGCGGGAGCCTTTCCAGATGCACAGAGACTGTGACATTCTTTTTTTTTTTTTGAGTTGGAGTCTCACTCTGTCACCCAGACTGGAGTGCAGTGGCACACTCCCGGCCCCCACAGCCTCGACTTGCTGGGCTTCGGCGATCCTTCTACCTCAGCTGGAACTACAGGTGTGCACTACCACACCTGGCTTATTTTTGCCTGGGTGGGTCTCGAACCTGTGGGCTCAGGCAATTCACTTGCCTTGGCCTCCCAAAGTGCTGGGATTACAGGCTAAGCCACCGAGCCCAGCCAACTGTGACATTCTTAAGACTACTGAAAGTGCAGGAGAAGCCACATCCTGAGCTTCAGAGCTCAGATTCCAGGCCTGGCTGGAGATTTGGGTATGGGAGAGAATTCACAAACATATATACACACACACACACACACACACACACACACACACACACACACACAAACACACAAATGCACACATATGCACACACTGCCCAAGCACCACTCAGCCTGGCAGAACCAATACTTTGTCCTCTGCCTACTCTTCCCTGAGGGAGGTACATGGAGACATAATCAGGCTTCTCAGCTACTTGCCTAGGCTCCTTATGGAACAGGTTCAGGCCATGGGGCCATGTCAGTGACTCTGCCCTTAACTTTTCTATGAACAGAACCTAAGAGCAGAGACTGCTCTATTTTTCACCACCAGAAATATTCAGAGAGAAGGCAAAGCCACGGGCTTCCTTCCCTCCCTCCTGCTGCTCCTGCTATCCCCTGTTTCCCATCTAACTGATATCATGGAAAAGCCCGAAGCAGACAGGTGTGTGTGGGAGGGTGCTCCCCTTCTTTCCCGTCATTCTCTTGCTCACTTTGTTGTCTGGGTCACGGGGAAGAGGGCAGCTGGAGTGGCAAAGTCAGCACTGATGTCAGAGAAGAGGAGGCTGAGAGATACTAGGAGAGGTAGGAGCCAGTCCCGTGGCAGGAATGATTCAGAACATAGCTTAGAACTAGGAGGTCTGGCTCTTGGAACACGCAAAGAATAGCACCCACGCACCTGAGACAGGTGCAGGTCTATGTATGTCTCAGCCTCCCCCGGATTGCTGAGGATCTCATTGGTAGGAAAGGTAGAGTTCAAGTAAAGAAAACCTAATTATAACAACAAAAAAGGCTGTAATTCCTTGAGTACCTCCCAGGAACAGACAATCAGTGACATCCAGTTTGATCTTTGCAACCACCCTGACGTAATAGATGAGATGACCCCATCTCACAAATGATGAACTGGAGCTAGAGGCTAATTCTGATGAGTTGTCCAAAGTCATATAGATGGGTTTCAAATCCAGCTCTTGCCTACCTCTTGCCTACCTATGTCCTTTTGTACTTCTGTGTGTCGTCTGTTCTGACTCCTCCTACACACACACACACACACACACACACACACACACACACACACACACCCCAGATCCCAACTCCCAGCTTCAAGTGACCCACCCCGTACCTTCATGAATGGCAATGATGTGAGGGTGGTTGAGTGATGACATGATCTCAATTTCCCTCCGTATGTGCATCAGATCTTGTTCATCTTTGATTTTGTCTTTCCGGATTGACTTGATGGCCACCTGGGAACAGAGTGTGCAAGAGAGAGTGAGGAGAAAGGTCTGGCAGGTAATGACATCCCTGCACTCTGGGGGCCCTGGCCCCGGTGGTCTGTCTATAGCTATTACAAAGGCCACAAGGTGCGCACAGAGAAGTCACTCCATCCTTCACCAGGGTAGGTGGCAGAGAGGCTGGAGAGCACTTTCTCTAGAAAAGGTTCTCACTTGAACTGCAAGTAGCAGTACATGTAGTAGGGAGTATGGACTGATGACCTCCTCATTCAGAGTCTGCAGATGAACAAGGAAGGTAACTACCTGCATTTGCAAGGTTGCTGCTTTATGACTAATAGAGCAAACGTGCCGCACTGCACCATGAACACAAGGATCAGGCCTGTTCTGCTACCCATTGGATCTCTGGTGCTGAGCACAGTGCCTGTACACAGTAGGCACTGAATAACTGTTTGCTGCATGAGAAAATGAATAGGCCCTCACAACAGCTCTGGGAGGTGGCACAGAAAGCATCACCATCCCTACTTATAGGGGAGGGAAACTGGGACTCAGATGTTCAATGACCTGCTCAGTCCCACAGTCACTAACTGATGCAAACTGGGGTTATATTCCTGGTCATCTGATTCCGACTATGGTACTTTTTTTTTTTTTGAGTTGGAGTCTCACTCTGTCGCCCAGACTGGAGTGCAGTGGCCACTCCCGGCCACCGCAGCCTTGACCTGCTGTGCTCCGGCGATCCTTCCGCCTCAGCCTTCCGAGTAGCCGGAACCACAGGCGCGTGCTACCATGCCCGGCTGATTTTTTGATTTATTGTAGAGATGAGGTCTCGCCAAGTTGCCCAGGCGGGTCTCGAACCCGCAGGCTCAGGCAATTCACTCACCTCAGCCTCCCAAGGCGCGGGATTACAAATTGAGCCACCGAGCCGGGCGACTATGGTACTTTTTATGTCCCAGGGCTACAACTTGCTATAAACAACCACTCTCCAGTCACAAAGTGGAAACAACCCAAATGTCTATACGGGGGAATATTATTCAGTCATAAAAAGGCATGAAATTCCAGCACATGCTAGAACATGGATGGACCTTGAAAACATTACACTAAGTGAAATAATTCAGTCATACAAGGACAATATTGTATGATCCCGTTTATATGAGGTACCTAGAATAGACAAATTGATAGAGACAGAAAGGAGAATGGTGGTTGCCAGGGGCTGGGGTAGAAGGAAATGGAGAACTGTTGCTTGATGCATACAGAGTTTCAGTTTTGTGAGATGAAAAGAATTCTGGAGATTGGTTTACCACAATGTGAACATATTTAACACAGTTGTACACTTAAAATGGTTAAAATTACATATATATCACCACAAGGCTTTTTAAAAAAATTACTGGGTGTGGTGGCTCACACCTATAATCCCAGCAATTTGAGAGGCAGAGGCAAGAGGATTGCTTGAGCCCAGAGGTTCGAGACCAGCCTGGGCAACTTGGCAAGACCTCGTCTCTACAATAAATAAACAGATAAATAAATAAATTAGCTGGGCGTGGTGGCATGCGCCTGTAGTTCTAGCTACTAGGAAGGCTGAGGCAAAAGGATTGCCTGAGCCCAGCAGGCTGAGGCTGCGGTGGCCACAAAACCCCAAACCCCAGACTCTTTAGTCCAAGTAAATAAACGCGCTTCCCCTGGCAACAAAAAAACAAACAAACAAGACCATTAAAGAGTCCTCAGGGCTTTGCTATCTCTTTCTATCAGGATGAAACACACCATATAAGGTTTATCCCCTCTGGGCAACGTATGTGGAGGGCTCCGGAAAGGTGGAGTGGGCAGGAGAACTGGAAAAGAGCTGCAGATGCCGCTCAAGCAAACCTCTTAGGAGTCTCAGCCTCAGTCTCTCTCTCTGCTCCATCCCACTCAGCAGCAGTTCCTGGACAAAGCCCCAAAGATGGTGTCAGGAGAAAAGAGAACAACAGCAAGCAGGGCCCACATGGGGGCCCATGGGTGTGGGGGCGAGTGACACAGGAGACACTTAGCCTGGGGAGTCGGTAGACTGTTGCTGTCCCTGCTGGCAAGTCCCACCCCTTCTCAGAGCCTCAGCTTTCTATGAAGCAGGTTGAACTATGAGGTCTGAGGGGGCTTTCCTGCTCTGATTCTATGAAATGAGCTGTACAAATGCCACGAGGCCCTCAGAGGCTACGAGGCCCTCAGAGGCTACGTTGCTGGCATTGGGTGCTGGGCGTGAGTGGGGTGGGGGTGGGGTGTCGTAGGGCCAGCCAGTTCCTGTCCAAGGATGCAGATGATAAATACAAGACTTCCTCGTTGTAGGAGATAGGCAAGTTATGAGAAATCTGAAGACACAGACTGAGATAAACAGCTCCTCATTCAGTTTCCCAGGAGGGTTTGCCTCCCCTCAAGATTCAAAGGGAGACAGAAAAAAAGGAAACCCCTGCTCAAGGGGAGGGGCCTCTAATCCACCCTTTCACAGGGCTCTGAAGGCAGACAATGGCTTGGGCTCACGGGGACAGCGGGCCCTGCCGGCCAGTGTTCCCCATCTGGACAAGAATGCGGAACAGCCCTAATCCTGTAAGAGGAGCTGCTCACAATGCCCTGGCCCGGTCACCCCGGCAACGGGCCAGGGATGGCGTGCCCTCCGCCCCATTCCTCCCCTGGAGCCGCATCCGTGAAAGAGGGGAGGCCCAGTTCCCGGGCCCTCCTTGAGCAGGGCAGGGAGGACAATGGCAGGCGGGAGGGACGGTCACCATGGAGCCTCCTCCCCAAGATACTGGAGAGGCCCATGCTGCAGCTGCAGGTCACACGATGGGGCTGCCCCTCCTCCTGCTCCAAGCCATCCGTCTCTCTCCAGTGGGCTACGCAAAACATCCCTGGCTTGGAATTGGGCAGGGGACTGAGGGTGGGAGTAGAAGACTTGAATCTTCCTGCAACTAGGAGGCACCTCTCTCTCCGGATTCATCCAGAGCATCAGTCCCACACACCTCTCTCTCCATACCCCTTTTCTCTCCCTGAAGGGGAGATTTTATGGACTAGTTCTTTTCTCTCTAAAATTCTTTGTTTCTAAAATCAGATAATGGATAAACTATAAGCTCTTCAGAGACAAATATCTATAAAAATTAAAACAATTATATAGAAAAAACAATCATACATAACACAAATCACATATCTAGGCAATCAAAAATATTTGAGAACTTAAGACATACACATATGCAAAAACTAGGCACATTTTGGATATATAGTTGTGTATTCACAATAGTGAGATAAATCATCATAGGCTTAGGAGGCAGGGCTCTAAAGATGACAAGGCCTAAAAGAAATGAGGTTCTAAAAAAAGAAAAAAAGAAAGGGGTCTTTGCGGTGCTAGAAGGAATCTCTGCATGGGTAGGGGGTGCATTAAGTACAACCTCGAGACCCAACTCTCTCAACTTTAGAAGGCTTTGATTCTAAATCAGAATTGATAACCCTCAGTGAACAGTTCTATCCTACTGCAAGCTTGTGCTCTGGCCTCAGGGGATAGGTCAAGACCCTCTAGTTATCTACATGAGGTCCCAAGAGATCCCAGTTTAGCTGGTATGTCCCAGGAATGAAACAAGTTATGTCATCAGGTGGCAGACAAGAAGAGTGATGATTCATCACTGTCCTGATGGGACTAGGCCACTGTTCCCCAACCTGTCCCAGCTCACAGGAAAGGCCTACAGCTATCTGCTGACTAGCCTGTCAAAGTAAATTAGACATAGCAATAGCTTAGGCCTAGACAAAGCACAGCATCCAGAAAGCATTCAATGATTGCTTACTGCTAAACACAAATCAAATAAATATTTGTTACCTAAGTCATTGGGCTTATCTTTTGACTGATGGAACCAGTACCTAGATAAGATTTTCTTCCCTTCTTCTCAGCATGGGTGGATCAACCCTGGTTATGAGGGCTAATGTTTAGGGACCTTTGTTCTCACCTGCAAGACGGTTGGGCAACTATTCTCTAGAATAAAAACAAGCTGAAAAAAGCCAAGGAAGAAAGTAACAGTTGCTGAATGGATCCCCTGAGGTAGGAAGGCCATATCCCTGGAGACAGTCTTCTGTTTCCTGGTATAATTATTAAAATTGCCCCTTTTATTCTCTAAAGTATCCATTCTTACACAATATATTGTATGACCACCCTACTCAAGGGGAAGGAAAACCAGGCCCAGTGATGACAAAGTAAACACAACCACCTGATTAGTGGAGTGAGAATCAAAAGCCCAGGCATCTAATCCTTATTTGCCCCTATCAAGCTATACAACTCAAGACAAGCCACTTAAGTGATCTGGTTAACTGGTCTGGTTTTAATGTCCTCTCTAAAAAATGAAAGGATATTTATTCTTCAAACAGCTGCTGAATGCCTTCTATGTGCCTAGCACTGGGCTAGGTATTAGGGAGTCAGACAAAAATTGGACAGTCTCTGCGCCAAGGCCTTCAGTCCAGTGGGAGGACTAGCAATTACATCAACTCCAGTCTAATGTGATTCATGTGGCAGTGAGGTCCCTGACTGCAGTGGAGTTCTGAGCCCTGGGGAGTGCTTTCTTTGCCTGGAGGAGGAGCAGGGAAAACCACCTCTGGGAGAAAACCCACTTTAGATCTTGAAGGATGAGTGAGGTTTGCTAAGCACAGGGATATAGGCTACAGAGGGGCAACAAGGGCATTCCAGGCAGAAAGAAAGGTTTGAGCAAAGACCAGAAAGAAAGGAGTCACTTACGAATTTGCACATCAGGATCTACAAGAACCTTTCCAAACTCTAGCATTCTATGCTGAGTTTCCTCAGAAATAGGCCAATTGCCAGGCATGGTAGCTCACACCTGTAATCCCAGCACTTTGGGAGGCAGAGGTGACAGGATTGCCTGAGACCAGGAGTTCAAGACCAGCCTGGGCAATATGGCAAGACCTTGTCTCTACAATAAGTAAAAAAAAAAAAAAGCCGGGCATGGTGGGGTGCGCCTGTAGTTCCAGCTACTTGGAAGGCTGAGATGGATGGACTG